ATTGTAACAATGCCGGAAAAAAAACGGTCGGAAGCGTCCCAATTTCTTTTGGTCTCATTTTGTGAAAATGAAACTTTCGCAGATTGTCGTCAAAGGAATTCAGTACTTGTACACTCATTATAAAGGCTATTTAGTAGAAACGTATTCTAATTGGTTGAAAGTATATCTGGTGTTTGCTACTAGTTACTGGTATTCGTTTTATTCAACGACAATTTTTAGCCCGAGTCTTCACATGTCACCTATGTTCATCTCCATAAAGAAGAACGCTTAAATACTCGTTACGTCAGTCGTATAATGTTGAATCTACCTCTACCTAAAATCAGTTAGCCACTCTGAAAAACATAAAGTATTCTGCGATATTTCAAGGTCGACACCAGCTGGCTTTGTGAATACCTCTCACAATAAACGTCCCTATCGGCTAAGTTAACCAAAATTCTCTTTGCTGTACTGTAAAGTACAAGCGATAAAACGGAAATTTATGAAAACGTTCCGGAATCTGTAGTTTGAATGCGGGCTGTTAGCAACCGCTTTGCGCTACATTGGATCATATCTTAAGGGGTATATAATGTTACCTACATTAAGTCTTATGTTAAACGTTTTTTGCAAACTACTCAAATATTACCATTGTTGACGTTCAAAAGTTTTTAGATTTTTACTATAATTGCATTTTTAACGACGTTAGATAACGCGAAGTATTATCTTTAAGTTTTTGATGGCCCAGTTAGTGAAGATAGTGAGCCTGTTTGCGAGCGATTCAAAATCACTCAAAAATTCCTATATTTGTCTTTTGCTAGGTCGCCTACCTATCTCTTTCGCCCGAGACTCTCACGCTTGGCTGACGACTGAGAAGTGGGAACTATTTCTTACACAGCCATTTCGACAGGATCCGGCGACCGGATTTTTCACATCGTGGTTTAGACGCTGCATCGCGCACGCCCAATCAGCCGCCAGGCCAAGCCTGATTTTATCAAGTGCTCCCACTCTTTGCCCTAAAGTTGGGGATACAATGGTTTTAGAGATCTCCATCATGTGCATTTTCAATGATCGACTCGGACAGTGGAGTGATGTCTAGAAGAAGACGAGAAATAGCTGGACACCCTCAGCACTAAGCAAGCTTACACGCCCAAATGTATCACACTGCGTTAAAAACCATGGCTTGAAGAGTTACCGACTCGGTCCCCTCATAGAACGGAAAGCCATGCTGCGATGCTTTCCTCATGATGTGTCCTTTATGGCACTCCCACTAAGCTGATACCTGGGCTGCTATTCTCCCTTTTTCCTGGTGTCTGAAATCGTCGTTCTCTGCACGTACACCAAGGGGCGTAAAGACACGCCTAGGTGCGGATTCGTGGCTAGCTAAACACCTGCGCACAGTCTCTCCTCCGGGTAAAGACGTGTGAGGACATAGAGAGCGTAATAGATGCTGCGCAAGTCGCCGTCCCTTCGCCCATCCTCCGGTGGGGCACAGGTTGGGCCTCGTCGGAAACGACGACCAAACTGTCATTCACTGTTTTATTTTTGTCAGCCTTCAGTTGCCCAGACCAATAGATATTTAACCCCAAATATTCACGTGATGTTGTTGAACACAGGAAAAAGATGTATATAAAAACCTTTAACAAATTCAACAAAATCATGGTATTTCAAAGACATTTTCTATTTCAAAAATTACGATAATTGAACTTCAAGAGTTTAAAAAATGGATGATGGCTGGGAGATGTTCTCTCCCCCTGCCATCACCTTCCCAGAAAATAAAAAAAATGGTACAAAAAATTGGGATGAGTGCAAACATTATACGTTTGCTCAAACAATACCTACTCTGAGTCCTGCAGGGACTTTAACGATAAACTTCCAAGGAATGTATCCATTATTGGATTTCATCAAATCTCTGTAGGCAAACATCCCTCGCTCTCCTCTTAGGACGGAAATTCAGGCTGTAATGTCTCTCGCATGATGTGGCCTACATGACACTTCCACTTGGTATCGGGGCTGCCCGTCTCTCTTACTCTATGTTTCTTGATGGGTAATGACACGCTAAGGCGTATATTCGCGCAGTGTAAACCGCCTGCGCCCAAACTTTTCTCCGGTCTTCGTGGATTTTCCTCCCCGGAGTAACTCGCTGTACAGTTGAATCAAAATCCGCTGCATGCAACCTGCATTCAGAAAAAATGGTAATAATCCCGATCTCGTAAACCCGCAATATCCACGCAGGGGACGAGATAAACTATGGCGCATTGGCTGCCACCTAGTTATACACACTCGTTGTTAGTGGCTCCCTTAGAAAAATACTTAAATAAAAACTAGACCTTGGATTTCAAGAGCGTAACGGCCGTATAACTGATGAACAGCTCCATGCAGACTCTTGGTTCAGAATTTATCTACTCCTTTGACATCCTATCAAGCCGAGAATACCAGCAAAAAGCTGAACATCGTCGTTACTTTTGCAGAGGTCAAAGACCCCTTGTGGTTTAAGCAAAACAGAAAGTATGATTTCACGAAAAGTTTTTATGGGAACGTTCAAGTAATCGTCGCCTGCTGCAAGATACGATGATTTACTACCATACGTGAGGTAACAATAATCTTTCCTACACAGTACCGTATGTGTGCTGGCTCTCGAAATGTTAACCGTAATTCCCAAATGGGTTTTTATTTCGAAAAGATTACTTAGGTAGGGTTTGAAAATTAACCACCATACAGTTTTTTCAGGATGCTGGGCTTCGAAAGAACTTCTTTCCGGCTACAGGCAAAAAATACACTATGTAAAAACGAGTAGTTGTGTAGCATGACTTTAACTAAGTGATCTTTCATGCCCTTGACATTTCAACTCTAGTTCACGGGAAACATGCATTTTAATATTTTTCTTTACTTCTTTACTGTTCAATTCCCAGATAATTCTAAACCTAACTTGCCGTTATACTTTTATTTAAGGTTTTCAATCTATAAGCCAAGAATCTTTCGCGTACGAAAACCGTACAATTATCTACGGTACTAAGGGGGACCATAGAGGGTTCATAAAATTTAGTAGTAGATTTGAGCCCCGTTGTAAACTTTACAAGCAACATTTTCAAATTATCAGACACGACGTTTTGTGAACGGCCATTTCGCGGTATTAAAATACTTTGTAATTGGAAACCTTAAAAAACCGAATTATTCCGTTCCTTCGAGTACAAAATTGGCAGAGAACAACATTTTCCACCGAATGAGTGAAATAAGGAATATTTGAATGTATTTTTGTCAAAGGCGTAACGGTCATATTACCGAGGAAGCGCAACCTGCAGACTCTAACTTCAGCAGCCATTTACAAGACCGACATCCATGCAAGCCCCGAATACCAGTTCGTCATTTCTGCTTATAATGGACAGCCGTAATGGCTACGTCGCGCCACTCGCTAGCGCCTGCACCTACGTCCTAGCGACAGCCTACAATGGCACACACGTCTGCCCGGCTTCGATTTGTCTCGTTGCAATTCACTGTCAGCAATACGCATTCGGTCGATTCTCTGCCTTCACCACACGAGGCTTGTCACTACCTTCACATGGGCTCGGAGTCAATCAACACAAATCCCCGTCTTTATCGGCTGCGGAAATTGATGACGACCACGACTGTCCCAAGCCGTGACTGACCTCCTTTAAGAAGCTTCGTAAAGTCAGATAGGAGGGATGCAAATGGATGTGACCGTTGACAGAGAAGTCGGTAAATGTCCAGGCTTCTTTCACCTGTCCTCCCGTATGTTCATCGTCCGGCCCACAAACTCCGGGCCGTTGAAGATAAGTCCCATTTGCGGGACAGGGGTTGCTGCCTCCGGCTTTGGGTCCAAACTTCGCCCTGTCAACTCACGCTTGTTTATCCGCGTTCGCAACCGTTGGTCGGTTTCCCGACGTAGTTGCACATCCTGCAGCTGCATGATAGTCGGTTGCTAATGACTGACATCTTTTTAGAGACTTGGCCTCATGGCCGCATCAGTTGCTGGTGGATTGTTGATTCAGGCCTGTAGACAACGCCTGCTTCGAGCGGCACGAGGATCTGGCCATGGCTTCGGAGATCCCAGCTTTGACAGAAAGGGCATTCCCTATGACTTCAGGTCGTCGACGACACCGTGTACTCGAGGTGATACTATTTAGCACGACGTCACTAAATCCAGGGAGTTTAACTACAAATTCTAAGAAGTTTATTCATTGTTGAATTTCATTAAAGCACTCTAGGCAAGTTCCCTAAAGACAACGATAGGCTGAATACAGTTTATTAAACCAAATTATCTTTATCTCGGAAAACGAATCAAAATGTAAACTTATTCGTCTTTGAAATTGCGAGCACACAGATAAGCGTCTGCTGGCATTACGTATGCGTCTTTTGACGTGGAAGTTGAAACCACTGTTTTCATTATGCGCGTGCGATTGCCTAAGTTGTGGCCACTGGTTTGGTCGAAAAAAGATGATTTTGAAAGTGTATTTTGTCTATGAAAGCTTAGCTGTTCATCGAAGTTAAGTAAAGTAAAGGTTGGTTTTGGTGAGCTCGTCTATTCTTTTGAGACCTGCAAGGAGGGGTATCAAGTCTGCCAACAAGTGCAGTGACATTCCCGTTCCATATTTGAGAGCGCGCATGCCGGTGGGCCAGATGACCGAGCAATCATCACGCCAGCATCCAATACGGGTGATGAGATTTTAGCAATTAACCATTTGCATGCCGGCCATCAAGCATTTAGCGCACCAGCGGGCAACAATCCTTTATGAAGGGGAACGTAGTTAATTGCTGTAGGTATGCAATAGCATAGCGACTGTATCCTATAAATACTGCAACTTCCTGCGCATGCGTGACCCGTTTCTGCCACTGTCTCTGATGATGGGTTCAAGGCAGAATCCGAAACGTCAGGCGAATAAAGCCCATGTTCCAGCGATCGCCTCCTCTTTTTCTAATATCCGGGTTTAGCCTACGCAAGGCTATTGGTTCATACGCTGTTTATATAAAGCGTCTCAGCGCTGCATGCAAGCATATTTGTTAGGAATATGTTCCTGCATTTCCTTGCCCTGGCATTAGCTTATGGCGTCTCCGGAAAAGGTGATTTTATTTTACAGCCTTAATTGCCGAAATATAGTTGTTCCTAATTTGTATTTCCGTACAAGGTCAAGATGGTACATTTTTCATCCAAAACGCTGAACATTGCCTTTTCATTTACAGACGACATTAGCATCTTGGAATTCAAACAGAACAGAGACTATGTTTTTACAAAAAAACTCTATGGAGACGTTGAGGTAATCGTTTCCTGCTGGGAGATGCGATGACTTCCCATTGTGCTTGAGGTAACAGATATCTTTCCTCCATTTAGTACATAACCGTGGACGGCGTGCGGATTTACAAGGCAGCAGATGGGTCGCACTGCGTCGCGCCGAATGACTGCTGGGAAATTATATATCGTAAGATATGCAGTTCGCGCTTCATTTCTTAATGCTCTCAAATACCCAAATAAAAATTCTCTGCACATTTAATGCACAACTACTTCATAGGTGTACAACACATCTTTTAACAGAAGGACGAATGGATATAGCCTTCTACCAGTAGTGAAATTCTATATGTCTTTTAGTCCACGTTTGCATGTGCAAATGTGTACCTAATAGTATTAACGACAAGGTTGACTGTGGTAGCCATTTCTAACCTATCAGCCGGCATAGAGGGACAAGTGGGTTCCGTAGCGCGATCAATGCGTTTCCCTCTACCAGTGTATATTCTCAATCGCAACCGACAGGTAATAGAGCCCGCGGCCCAGCAGCCAGGGGTGGCGGGATCGAACCATAGGTGACGACTGATAACAAGCCGGGAACGATCATTATAGTTCCCTTTTTCTTTGTTGGTAATATCATGCTGCCCATATACATATATGTGAATGTTTGACCGGTGGGACTATTTTCATTCTCATATATTTTCCTCTCTCGCACAATTACATCGCAGATATTTTAAAGGAAATCAGATTACGCGTGTGTTAACAAACACTATTCTAATTATAGGCGCCATAATCTGACTTGCTGGCCTACCGAGGAGTCATATTTATGGCCTATATTATGAGCGTAAGCGTAAGGCTCCAATAAACAGATTAAATTAACAAAGACTTTTATGTGTTTTGTCATCATCTCTGTCTTAACCTTGTAAGTGAATCTTCCCGCCTCTAGCCAATGAGTACGTCATTGCTAATGGTTTCCTGAAGGGGACGCATGCAACATTCACGTTACATCCTGGGTATCCTACTGGCAGATGCCCAGTTACAGTAAAATACATAAGAGCTGACACACCGAACCGTGAGTAAAAGTAATCATTCAGTCAATTTACATAAAAATTTTGTCACGCATATGTTTATATGCATTAAAATCACATATATTGAAAAATGCAGCTTTATCTGCCTTATGAGTCATAACCCGTATTGTAAGTTGATTTGCTGGAATGTCTTTTAACTCAAGACATTAAATGAATTAACCCCTTGTTAGTTAAGCAGCTTTAAAATTGTTTTTTTTAAATAACGCATCGCCTGATTTCTCCTCTAGATCCATCCACGATTTCTGGAACAAGATATGTTTTTGCGAAAGAAATCCTCACAAATGAAAAGCTGCTGTTCAGTGGAAAGGTTTCGGTAATCATCGGAAATCAATTTCATTGTCCCAACTACATGACAAAAATAGTGCTTCAAGGGCCTTTCATAAGAACCGTTAGAATTGCAGGAAAAAGCACGTCATTACAAAATTGTATTACCCTGAAGAACTTACTTAGTCAACGCATTATAATGCGTCACATTATATTATTTATAAATAAAATGAAGGCATCATCAGTTACTATCGTAGTTTGATTATCATGACCATAAAATTGAGTCGCACCTGGGCCTTCATGCCAAGCAGATGCAGTTTGTTTGGATTTGTCAATGTGATTTTAGTTATAGCCAAAGTGATTCCGACATTTAGTCTATTTTAATGTCTCTGTTTATGAGCTCTCAATTAAACAGAATACGCCATTTCATGTTCATAACCGTTCAGAGTATATCTTATGACGGGTCCATTACAGCGACAGGAAGAGCTCCCAACTATATATCTCTGGCTGGCTGGACCGGTAAGTGCATAAATAGATCTTGCCGAGGATTTCTCAGACGTCCTGTCATTTATGTTGTTTCTTGTAAAATATTTAAACAAAAGTTCTCCACGCAGAACCTTTTTCATACATGTGTACGCGCGCTTTTAGGAGTGTACATGAGAGAACTTGTACTATTTACGGGACATTTGGAGACCAGACCGCGACAAGTGATGATAAGGTTTACGAATGACAGAGTTATTCGCATTACAATAAAGCCTTCTAATAAAACGGAGGCCATGGCTCCTGCGTTAACATTCATCGACTTCATGCACGCCTTTAAGTGCATGTAAAAGGACTTCAAGTACGAGTAAAATGATTTCCAGGTGTTGAATTTACGATCATCTAAATGGCAGTGCGCGGTTCAGGGTTGTTTGTAATTTCAATAAATTTTAATAGATAATATTTTTCCCAATTTATTATACCGCGTAAGTGAGCCCTGATAGGCAGTGTAAAGTAATGGATGCTGAAGCCAAAGCTCTCCCTTCATGCCCAAAGGCTCATTTTTCATTTTCTGTCCAGGGTTGAGCTCTGAAAACAAACTTTTGCACGCTCCAGGCGGCCTAGGAAATAAAATGTTTGTTTAACGGGATGATTAAACGCATTATCTTCTGGGTTTGGTTTTCAAAAGGTCCTAATAACATCTTCATCCGCTTGGAAAAGCGAATTTTTTTCTTGAAAAAAACGGTTTTCGCGGTCGGTCTAGTTAATGTCTTTGCTAGATGTCCGTATGACTTCCTAAGTTGCTTAAGGAGATATTAAGTGATCCTTTGATATGCAAATGGGTTTCTGAATTATAAACAAGATTCTGCAAGCCAATTGCAGAAAGCATTAATATATGTTGTCTTTATCTACAATTCATAAAGGTTTAGAGTTAGTGTTAGGGTAACGGTTACGAGTTAAACGATTAGGGTTATTACGGGTTAGTTTTAGGGCAGGGTATGTGTCTCAGGGTAAGGACTGATGTTATGGCTAAAGTTCGGACACGGAATTATGCAACTTCTGGAATTTAACGCAAGATGACTCATAGTATGAGCGGTCCATATTCCTGTGTCTGACGGGTTGTTCATTTTGTTTTCGCTGAATCCGTAAGTCTGGGACAGTCGTCCGATGGTTTAAAAGCCGTCACTAAGTGTTTTTATATACGCGCCCTCTAAAACCCTCAGAAAAGTCACTGTTATCCCAGTGCACGCATGCGTAGACTATTTTTGGGGCGGTTGACCTGTGAAAAGGGTTAACTACTCTTTTGGACGCAATAGGTAAGTCAAGGAGTACGCAATTGACAAGTAGAGGCAACTCAGACACAACAGGGTAACTAGGAAAAGGGACTATAGAGAGAGGGGGCGAAATCATCAGGTCAAATAATTAGTCACTAAAAAGTTATTCTGAAACAACGCGATGCGTGTGGTTATACCAAAGTGCTAGGAAACACCCAAAGGAATACTTCCTGAAATTATGTATTAATAGGCAAAAAAGGGTTTTTTAAAACAAATATGGTAGTTAATTATACATACTGAAACCAGTGGAGTTACATAGCCTGTCCTTAACCAAACAGAAATATCCGTGAGCGTAAAAAGTTACATTCTAAAAATTCTTAAGAAAATTTATTGAATTGGAACTTTAAAATGATCCCACGTTATTTCAGATGTTAAGTTGGAGCTCCACCTCTGATGCCACACAAAAAACTCCGGTAGTCTAGTTCCGGCTACACTCACTTCAATATGTCCACTGTAGCTAAACTCAACGCCGCAGTGGTCCTCTCCTTGAGTTCTTCATCACATCTAGGAATTCGCTGGAAATAGGCCAGTCCAGTCACATAGCTTTACAGAAGGTAATCACGTGATGTCATATCAGGTGAGCGTGGGGCAGTTCAACAGCATGCTGTCTCCATAAAAAGCATGTCTTATCCGCTATCCTTACAGTTTCCTCAACCGCGAGTTTTCAATAAGTCAGAGTTCTATCTTGTTGACAATATTAAATTGGGCATGCTTTCTTACCTCAGAAGAAACCGTTGCCGACACATCATCAGATAGCTGTGGCTGGTGGCTGTTCCCTCTAAAAAGTGCAGCATACACACAGACCTGAACGATGCCGTGGAATGTATACATTTTCAGTGAGCCTGTTGTGCCTTTCATGTCGGCACTGCAAATTCTCCTCGTCACCAATGCGCTTGTTTTCTTCCGCATCTTTATGGAGTATAGCCTCGTCTTGGAAAGCGAACCTGCTTTTAAAGTCGTTCTCTTCACGTTTTTCACAGAGTATCGCATGCATATTTTCACCCAGCTTTGAAGCTTGCACAAACTGAAGCATCTATAGGTTTATCTGTGAGTGCTTTCTTATGATACGCCAAACACTTGACTCAGAGATCCCGGTCTGGAGGTACGGCCTTCACCCGTACACTATGTATAAAAGCCTTCCAGACTTGGTTTCCCGTTGTTTACGAAACTATTAGCCGTATAGATCCTTTTGCGACACAAACAGTCTTCCTTGTGGGGCATCTTATGCCAAGGAAAAATCTATTTTCTGTTGGTGTTTATTCATTAAATCTTTGAACAAACGTATTTTGTACATTTATTGCTGTCTGGGTTTTGGCCGTGCTTCGATGCACAAAACTCTTTTTCCGCAACAATGAATGGCATATCTAACACGCAAAAGATTGGTTTTTAACAAAGATGCAGTGAATTCTAAGCATATGCTTAAATGTGAGACAATTCTGATGAAATTACGTCAAGCTTATAGGTGATGGAGTGATGACAGATTTTAGTTTCAGATTTAGAACACTCTGTGCCCTTGAACGACCAGTTAAAAACTCCTTCGACGAATCAGCGAATAATTAAAAAATACCCATATTCAATTAAATTGACGATGTCGTAGTTATCACTATCTTCACGCATCACCTCGTTTATAATCAACGTCTGATATCGCAGTGTTGCATATGGACTTGCCTTTAGCACAACAATCGGAATGCAACGCAAGCATTAAATGTCCCCTTTACTACAGGAAGGGACTATAAGGCTGTGCCCCCACATCTTCCTTCACTGCTGCTGAATTGCTGGAATTTTTACGATGCCCACATCGTTTTTGCATTTGGACTTATACATGTATTCGACAATGGCCGACGCGGAACGTAGGCACATGCACACAATAACTGGTACTTAATATTAATGAGTAATATGCTTTTCTGACATACAAAAATGTGAAACCGACGTTGCCAGACAACAGGGTGTTGGGCTGCAGCACAATTCTAACGAACACTGTTGGTGGCACTGGTTTAGCCGCGTAGAACTTTCGATGCCAAGTGTTGATTCTTGTTCGTGGGTTGGCATGTTGCTTTGGTGCCAAACATCAATTAGCAGCCCACTCATTAAGTCCAGGCGAGCATCGTCTGCTTACTCCAACATCTTGTGTGCGACCCTGCACAACTAATGCAGTTCTGCCTACTGAGATAGTGATGGCCTTATGAATTCTGTCTCCTTGATTCGCTAGCTGGGAGCCTGCCTTTAGTACGCATTGTAGGCAAACCACTCCCATGAGATAGACCATGACGCATACTGAACAAAAAACGACAAGCACCCATTACTTGTGACTGTACATTTTCCCAGGTCCTTGCCTCAGCAAGTTTCGAACTGATGATTCTCAGTAGCCGAAGCTCTTCCTGTTAACTTCGTTCCTTACCCAGAGATAAGGAGATCCGCAAAGAAAACAAGCTGAAGCGAGCCAATATCACTTCAAACGTTTGCATATTAAACGGATAAAAAACCGGAATATCTGGTACATATGATCCCGCCGTTCGTCAGCGTTTTCAGTCGCCATTAGCCCACGTGGTAGAAAGAAGCCTACTGAAGGGTGCGTGTTCTCTGTTGTGCAAATTTTCGCTTCGAAAGGAGACACTCTTCTTAATAAACTGAATTCCTCACGCTCTGATTGTCGGTGCAAATTTGGAAATTAATGCTCTCGCTGATATCACTAAATGTCGGATCCGGATTAAGGTATGACGCCTGTTACTAGGCTCAATACCCATAAGCCACAAATGTTCTTGTTGCCATGATTAGTCCCCACCCAAAGATCAAGTTTACAATGGAAAAGCAGTACTTTGACAAGCGGTCTGTCATGGACATCCTTATGACTAGACATGAAGATTGTTCAGTAAGTCGATTGCTTTTCCATAAGGACACATGGAAAGATCAATATCTACATTTACCGAGCTTCGTAGCAATACAACGAAAACTAAATCTGGTTTATGGTCTTTTCCAAAGGGCGAGAAACATTTGCTCTATTGGGACACCGGATGCAGATTTCGCTTGTCTCATAAGAGCCTTGCTTAAACCTGGATATCCATGATGTTTCATAAAGGCAGACAGCAACACCTTAAGGCCGAAATCGTTGAACTAATCAGCTCAGAAATAACCCGTCGTAATATGTTTGCAATCTAAAAGTGACAATATTTCAAATGCCATTAGGCGAGTATTAAGATGCGCCATTGAAAGACCATACAAAGCAGCTAATTTCATATTTGCCGGTCTAACGAAAGCTATTCACATTTCACGGGCAATGAATGGCAAGGCGATGCATGCCACCCCGAATCGTGTTTACGAATTTACATGCACTTGTAGATACACACACATTGGGCGAATGAAAAATCGGTTGGCGGGCAAGTCAGTTGAGTGTCGTTAGGGTAGGGTGATAATATATTAACAGCACAGGTGCTAGTCAAAAGCCCATGCACGCGTGTTTTGCCGACGTTTTGCAGCAGCATGGCGCAACTGCGGGGGGTTCGGCTCGTCAGTGGCTGATGGATTTTGGCCCCAATATTAATGCATGAAATATATATATATATATTTCGAAAGAAAACAGCTCTTTGGGAAATATTAAACAAGTTTTATTGTAAATTTTCGAACTTGGTTCCCCAAGTCGTCTTCAGACGTGAAGTAAGTGTGCAACACAGTTAACATTTAAACATGCCGAAAAATCGATTTTGCCTTGTTACTCCTGCT